GGTGGGAGCCCTACACAAGTGATGTCAACATGTGGAAGAGGTGGGAGCCCTACACAAGTGACATCAACATATGGAAGAGGTGGGAGCCCTACACAAGTGATGTCAACATATGGAAGAGGTGGGAGCCCTACACAAGTGACATCAACATATGGAAGAGGTGGGAGCCCTACACAAGTGATGTCAACATATGGAAGAGGTGGGAGCCCTACACAAGTGATGTCAACATATGGAAGAGGTGGGAGCCCTACACAAGTGACATCAACATATGGAAGAGGTGGGAGCCCTACACAAGTGATGTCAACATATGGAAGAGGTGGGAGCCCTACACAAGTGACATCAACATATGGAAGAGATGGGAGCCCTACACAAGTGATGTCAACATATGGAAGAGGTGGGAGCCCTACACAAGTGACATCAACATATGGAAGAGATGGGAGCCCTACACAAGTGATGTCAACATATGGAAGAGGTGGGAGCCCTACACAAGTGATGTCAACATATGGAAGAGGTGGGAGCCCTACACAAGTGACATCAACATATGGAAGAGGTGGGAGCCCTACACAAGTGATGTCAACATATGGAAGAGGTGGGAGCCCTACACAAGTGACATCAACATATGGAAGAGGTGGGAGCCCTACACAAGTGATGTCAACATATGGAAGAGGTGGGAGCCCTACACAAGTGACATCAACATATGGAAGAGGTGGGAGCCCTACACAAGTGATGTCAACATATGGAAGAGGTGGGAGCCCTACATAAGTGACATCAACATATGGAAGAGGTGGGAGCCCTACACAAGAGGTGGAATGTGACATGAACAAAAAGAATATACTGATAGGGTTGTAAGCTTTATGAAGGGGTTTATTAACAAACTTTAAACAACTGTAGTAGAACACCAGTCATTTCATATAGTGAAGATAAACTGATTGTTTTGATCACAAGGATAAATTGTGCTTATAAAGCAAGTACCAGCTGTGGGAAATACAACACGAGGACTGGCTGGCCAGATGTCAATTTCAGGAAAACAAATATCTCGATACACTCGGGGGGGGGGTACACACGGCTGACTTAAATCATCAGTAATGTGGGTCATTTACTTCAACCCAGGTGTCAGGCAGGGATGGTAGTAGGCAGGGTAGGGGGTTGGTAGGGGATTGGTAGGGTAGGGGGTTGGTAGGGTAGGGGGTTGGTAGGGGATTGGTAGGGTAGGGGGTTGGTAGGGGATTGGTAGGGTAGGGGGTTGGTAGGGGATTGGTAGGGTAGGGGGTTGGTAGGGGATTGGTAGGGTAGGGGGTTGGTAGGGTAGGGGGTTGGTAGGGGGTTGGTAGGGGGTTGGTAGGGGGTTGGTAGGGTAGGGGGTTGGTAGGGGATTGGTAGGGTAGGGGGTTGGTAGGGGATTGGTAGGGTAGGGGGTTGGTAGGGTAGGGGGTTTTTAGGGTAGGGGTTGGTAGGGGATTGGTAGGGTAGGGGGTTGGTAGGGTAGGGGGTTGGTAGGGGATTGGTAGGGGATTGGTAGGGTAGGGGGTTGGTAGGGTAGGGGGTTGGTAGGGGATTGGTAGGGTAGGGGGTTGGTAGGGTAGGGGGTTTTTAGGGTAGGGGTTGGTAGGGTAGGGTGTTGGTAGGGTAGGGGGTTGGTAGGGTAGGGGGTTGGTAGGGGATTGGTAGGGTAGGGGGTTGGTAGGGGATTGGTAGGGTAGGGGGTTGGTAGGGTAGGGGGTTGGTAGGGGATTGGTAGGGGATTGGTAGGGGATTGGTAGGGGATTGGTAGGGTAGGGGGTTGGTAGGGGGTTGGTAGGGTAGGGGGTTGGTAGGGTAGGGGGTTGGTAGGGGATTGGTAGGGGATTGGTAGGGGATTGGTAGGGTAGGGGGTTGGTAGGGGATTGGTAGGGGATTGGTAGGGTAGGGGGTTGGTAGGGTAGGGGGTTGGTAGGGGGTTGGTAGGGGATTGGTAGGGGATTGGTAGGGTAGGGGGTTGGTAGGGTAGGGGGTTGGTAGGGTAGGGGGTTGGTAGGGGATTGGTAGGGTAGGGGGTTGGTAGGGTAGGGGGTTGGTAGGGGATTGGTAGGGTAGGGGGTTGGTAGGGTAGGGGGTTGGTAGGGGATTGGTAGGGTAGGGGGTTGGTAGGGGATTGGTAGGGTAGGGGGTTGGTAGGGTAGGGGGTTGGTAGGGGATTGGTAGGGTAGGGGGTTGGTAGGGGATTGGTAGGGTAGGGGGTTGGTAGGGTAGGGGTTGGTAGGGTAGGGGGTTGGTAGGGTAGGGGGTTGGTAGGGTAGGGGGTTGGTAGGGTAGGGGGTTGGTAGGGGATTGGTAGGGTAGGGGGTTGGTAGGGGGTTGGTAGGGTAGGGGTTGGTAGGGTAGGGGTTGGTAGGGTAGGGGGTTGGTAGGGTAGGGGGTTGGCTGGGTAGGGGATTGGTAGGGTAGATGGTAGGTAGGGTAGGCGTTGCTAGGGCAGTGGTCGTCAGAGATTGTGGTAGAAATGATAGGGCGAGATAGGGTTGGTGGCAGAAAGGGTTGGTGACAGAAAGGGTTGGTGGCAGAAAGGGTTGAAGCACAGCTAGACAACAGCCTATTTACTTTTAAAGTTAGGGTCCTAAGAAAAACTGTTCAGATATTTGTTTTTAAAAGAAAAGCATCTTTTTAAACTTATTTTTTGCAACTTGGTTTCTATCACCCGTCTAATAAAGGGTGATATCCACCACTTGACCAGTGTAGCTAGATTCAGCAGGAGAAAGTCCTTGCATTGAATAAAAGCAATTTTAGGAAGGGGAGTGGCTGTGGTTTCTGTAAAAAAAAATTGAAGTAAAACCCATATTTAGCTTCAGCTTTCTGTCTCTTTGTTGACAGTGGGAGGAAAAAACAAACAAAAACATTGGAAGATGTGGTCCACCTTGGTTGTTTAACCACAACATGGCTGTATGACATGACCTCACACAACATGGCTGTATGACATGACCTCACACAACATGGCTGTATGACATGACCTCACACAACATGGCTGTATGACATGACCTCACACAACATGGCTGGATGACATGACCTCACACAACATGGCTGTATGACATGACCTCACACAACATGGCTGTATGACATGTCCTATATGATTACATAAACATAACTGACTTTTATCACACACACAAACCTTACTTTTATCACACACACAAACCTTACTTTTATCACACACACAAACCTTACTTTTATCACACACACAAACCTTACTTTTATCACACACACAAACCTTACTTTTATCACACACACAAACCTTACTTTTATCACACACACAAACCTTACTTTTATCACACACACAAACCTTACTTTTATCACACAAACAAACCTTACTTTTATCACACACACAAACCTTACTTTTATCACACACACACAAACCTTACTTTTATCACACACACAAACCTTACTTTTATCACACACACAAACCTTACTTTTATCACACACACAAACCTTACTTTTATCACACACACAAACCTTACTTTTATCACACACACACTGACTGACAACAGTACACACACTCAAGACTATTTTTGCTACTGACTGAGGACTGTCAGTCCACTAAACATCCTGTGACTCCTAACAGAAGATTCCCTTTCAGCCAATAGAGAAAATCAAAGTTCAAGTGCAATACTAATCACCAAAAGAAAAAGACCCCTTCATAGAGAAAATGAAAGTAGAATAGTTCCACAGCATACTGGTTTGTGTATAAGAGTTGTTCTATTGAGCCATACAAAAATATAATAAAGGTAAACATTGATGGAAAGCATAAGCTTACAAGATCTAGTCTTTGGACTCTTTGATCAGTGCAGGGGAAACAACTCTATAAAAGTTACAGCAAATCTTTAATTGGGATTTTTTGGCCCTCTAAAAAATTCTAAACTTTATGTTAACATATATACACAATGGATTTATGTGTGCGGAAAATAAAATTAATCCAACATTACTGAAATTTGGATATTTAGCTGTTACTAAATAGCCAGCATTTATTGTTTAGTATAGATGGGATTACTCAAATCTTCTAGAAAGGATCAAAACTCCAAAAATAGCCAATATAAAAAAAATTAATTGTGTTGATATCATTTTAAAATTGATTTTTTTATTAATAAGTAGTACATTACTGTAGCCTACTGATTAGCATCAACATTTGCTTATATCTGGTAAGGAATGCAGTTTTCTAACAACCAAAAAAAAAAAGGTTTTGGCTAATTTAACAACTGTTGGGCCATCTTCCATAGCAGTGTTACAACAACAAATAAGGTTTTGCCTAATTAACAAAGGTTAGGCTACTAACCACAAAACCACATTTTTAGACTTATTTTCTTTAATAATGGTCATCTGTCCCTACTACTTTTCACACCAACTCATTCTTCATACAAGGTAACACTAAGTTACTTTATACAAGGTAACACTAAGTTACTTCATACAAGGGAGCATTAAGTTACTTCATACAAGGTAACACTAAATTACTTCATACAAGGTAACACTAAGTTATCTTCATACAAGGTAACACTAAGTTACTTTATACAAGGTAACACTAAGTTACTTCATACAAGGTAACACTAAGTTACTTCATACAAGGTAACATTAAGTTACTTCATACAAGGTAACACTAAGTTACTTCATACAAGGTAACATAAGGTTACTTCATACAAGGTAACACTAAATTACTTCATACAAGGTAGCATTAAGTTACTTCATACAAGGTAACACTAAGTTACTTCATACAAGGTAACACTAAATTACTTCATACAAGGTAACACTAAATTACTTCATACAAGGTAGCATTAAATTACTTCATACAAGGGAGCATTAAGTTACTTCATACAAGGGAGCATTAAGTTACTTCATACAAGGTAACACTAAGTTACTTCATACAAGGTAACACTAAATTACTTCATACAAGGTAACACTAAATTACTTCATACAAGGTAACACTAAGTTACTTCATACAAGGGAGCATTAAGTTACTTCATACAAGGTAACACTAAGTGACTTACTTTTAACCCAGGACAGTGAGCAAAGAAAGCCTCCACACTCTGCGAGTGATACAGGGACCCATGCCCCACCGCGCTGCATGGTGCTCTAATAGTCAGCCTGCCGCAGTCAAATTCATTACCAGATCTGTATCTGTACATGGCAGCTTCATTCCTTAACTTAAAGAATAAAATTACTATTCAAACAATTATTGTATTTTCTGTAGTAACTTAAACAATGAAACCATGAAATAATTACCAAAATTTACAGCCATAAAACAAAAGGCTTTCTTCTTCTTACTGATCAAGGGGAGGTAACTTAAATAATTAGGAAAGCTAACAAAGGCCTATTTCTGCTAACTTACAAAAAAAACAAAAAAAAAACAAATAAAACTACTACACAGGCTGAACTAATAGCCAACTGAATTGGAACAAAGTTTAACCATCTTATAAACATGCTGAAGTAAACTAGTGAGAGCTGACAGCTATATGGGCCAGCCAGAGAGGAAGTGGGCGTGTACCTGATCAAAGCCTGGGAAGATGTAGTCAGCAAACTGAATCTCTGCTATGGCAGTGGCACCAGTCAGTGCTATTCCAATACCAAATGCCACGATCCCCTGCTCACTCAGAGGACTGTTGAAAACACGGTCTGCACCTAAGACAGTAACATGAACCAGTTAAAGAAAACATGGTCTACACCTAAGACAGTAACATAACCCAGTTAAAGAAAACATGGTCTACACCTGTAAGATTAACAAAACATCAGAAAAAACACTTACCATATTTGTCCTTAAGTCCAACACTACATCTAAACACACCACCAAATGCTACATCTTCACCAAACAGAACTAAAACAGAAAAATACAACAAATTAACAAACTTTGCAATTAAAATTAAGAAGAAAGAAAACTTGCCCGCAGTGGATTATCTTCAGGAAAGATCAGTTGGAAGAGGCATAAATCAAGGGTGATTTTGTGGAGTTTAATTAACCATAAATGAACATAGTACTGCCTTAACTGTTATAAAAACTACATTACAAAACTAAAATAGCTCAAATTTTAGACTGTCAAAAAGTTAACAGCGCTGAGACTCAGAAAGTTCAGTGGACAGAGCTGAGACTGACAGATAGTTAACAGTTGAGCTTAAAGCACAATGCTGCAATGGTTTACACTACTTTAAATCCTGGTCATTTAACGTGCCAGTAGCTGCTGAGAACAAATTGTATATAAGCCAGTCAACATATAACCTTTTCATCTTGCTGCAACTAACATAAAACACAGTATAAATGTTTTAATATCTCCTACAAACCTGCTGAGGAATCTTTGGCAAGGGCAATGTCTAGAGCACTTGTAATAGACTGAAACAAGTTCATTCGAGTAGTTTCCCCTGAAAATGTAGCAGAACAAAAATGGACTGAAACAAATTAATAAGTAGGAGTAGTTTCCCCTGAAAATGTAGTAGAACAAAAATGGACTGAAACATATTTATAAGTAGGAGTAGTTTCCCCTGACAAAACCAAAATCTATTTTTAAAAATCTATAAATGTAGCACACCGGTACTAAAAAAATGTAATTAATTTATTCAAGAGAGAGAAACTTTTGGCAACAGGGTGTAACCCTATATCATAACACATGTTGGACTAACATAGTTATAATTATATTAGTTGAGATCACAAATATTTTCTTCCATCATTAAATGTCAATGTAGTTGAGTTGCTGACTTTTTTTTAGAAATCCACCATTTAAGACATTTTCCATCAATTTTAGGAAACCATAGCTACCATTTCATTCTTTGCAAATTATACAGCCTGTGTAAAATTGAAATTTGTTTATCCATTATTAAGTATATCCATCACAAATAAACAACTAAACCCATATGCAAGGTCCAAGCTCATTTAGAGAATGAAATCATTCACTTACAAAAAACTCATTTTATAGCTTCCAAAATAATGATAAATTGATAATTGAAATAGTAACGTGGCAAGTAAACCAATAAAATGAACATTAAAAAACTTAATTTTTATTATGGTTTCTAGATCTAGTATTTACTTTTTTGGTCTCAATTTTTATTTTATTTTATATGCCTTTTAGAACAAATTATTTCAATAACAATTAAAATCAGAAGCTTTATCTTTAATTTGCTCCAGTCAAAAAAAAAATCTTGCTAAATCTAATTATTACTTTAATATGAGACTATAGCCTGATAACAAATTGCAGAATATGGGTGGTGATTTTTAGTAACATGCTTATTGAATAACAAACTGGAAAGGAATTAGTAGTATTTCTCGCTAACCCGGAGGCGTGGCCGGTTGCTAACAACAATATGGCGTACGGACCGGATGCATGACTTCCGACAATTTTTTGTCTTAGTTCCAGATACTTCTTAGAATTACTATGAAAAATGTTTATCATGAGTAAAATGGCGGGTTTTCACGTTATAAAAACATGCTATAGGTGGCAAGACTAAATATGCCAGGAAAGCATTTTAAAATTTGCTTTGGAGAATGAAGGCTAAATTTAAAAGTCGGTCTCATTACAATTAATAGAACTTCTAAAATATCAGCCCGGAGGTCACAAAAATGAATTGGAGGTTGTAGAACTATTAGGTTTATCATTATATGAAGAAATAAATAAAATACTGCATGCGCTTTTTAAAATAAGACACGACTTTTGAATGACAACCAAATTTATTTATTTTTTTAAACCACGTGACCGCTATTTGATGATCACTAGTGGGGAACTTTGGGTACATGGCCACTTAAAAAGTCTAATCTATTTGTGGTTTTCTTTAGCTTCAAGCTGTCATGGAGAGGTGTGTTGTGCATTTTTGTGAGTGTCAATAAATATTAAATTAAGTAATTTAGTTTAAAACGAACTAAAAACTTCTAAATTAGTGCCTAATGGATTAAATATGGAGGTCTATTATTCAGTAGTCATGCTTAATTTGAAATTTGGGTAAATTCTAGATTTATTAAGAAAATCTAGGAATTAGCCTATGCTTTTTAACCCTTTGAGCCCTGGCCTCCCTGGCCTAATTTCTCCCATTTCCTGAGCTCCCAGGGCCAAACCAATTTTCACTTATCTGCTTCTAACTTTGCCTATAACTTTTGAACCATTTGAGATAATCAGACCAAATTTGGTATCCAGACTCAGGATCAAATAAACACGTAGTTATTGTTTTGATAGAACATAAAAGAAACCAATATACATTTAGTAATTGTTTTGTTATTATAGATACCTGGCCACACTAGTTCATCGCCAGAAGTCCACTTTTATGTGATAACTTTCAAAACAGTTATCACTGCCGGACCCAATGCAAAGAAAAACTTCGCATGTTTTGCACCAGTAAACAGTTGTTTTTTTCGTTTAGGCAAGTCTTTGTCTTTGGCACCACGTGCACCATAACGTACTTGAAAAGTTTCATTGTCACTGTCAATTTCAATGTCACTGAGTTCAGTCTCAAATTCAACTTCAACGTCACTATCATCACAATATAGACTAGGAATATTATCTTCTTCATTAGAATCAATAAGTAGTTGTATTGCCTGAGATGCAGTCATTCTACTTCTTTTGGCGATATTTCGGTCTTTTGCTTCATCTTTTGCACCAACTTTATGTGCTGAAGTCGATGGCTGTGGCTCAGCTTTTCGTTTCGGCGGAATTGCTACGAAATGTAAACACTTTCACTTTTCCTAAAATCTATTTTTAGAATCATAATCACGCACTAAAAAGACATATGCGCAGTTTTAGTCAGTCTTCTGCTAATTATATTTAATTAGACGGTATACCGGCCGCTAGATCATCGGGCCGGAAAACCGGCTTTTAGGACATATATGCCTAATGTTGAAGCCGGTGTACCGGCTTGGCTGGCTCAAAGGGTTAATAATAGTTTTTCTTACTATTTGTGAAATCTACTTAATTCTCAATTTAAACATGACAACTGAATAAAAAACGTCCATACTTTATCCTCTAGACACTAAATTTGGGGGTTGAAGCGAGTTTAGACTAAATTATTGAATTTTAAATTTATTTGTCACTCACAGCTATGATATGACGGATCATCCATGACAACCTGGTTAAAAGTTGAAAGGTTTAACTTTTTAAGTGACCGTGAAATAGATCTAATTTTTTTTCACAAGAGAGTTCCTAAAAGTAGAATTGGCCCGTCTATCGTCGGGATATATTTATAGAGGAAAAAAATTTAAGAGAATGTCATCAGAAAAGAATTTTAAAAAAGACAAGACAGAAGTGATGTTTGAATTCTTTTATTTCTTTAATTTTATAACATTTTTTATTGTACAAAAGAGCAAAATAAAAAACCATGCCAGGTAAACGTATCCATTCAAATAGCGGTCACGTGGTCAAAAAAAATGAAAAAAATTGGTTGTCATTTTTTGGACACATCTTATAAAAAAAAGTGTTGAAGATATTTGATTTATTTTTTCATAGAATGATAAAACTAATAATGCTTTACTTTGGAAATCAATTTTGTGATATGGAGATCTATATTTAAAAAGTTATATTATTTTGAATGACACCGACTTTAAATTTAGCCTACATTCCCCAAAGCAATTTCTGAAAATGCTTTTCTGGCATATTTAACCTTGCCACCTATAGCATGTTTTTATAACGTGAAAACCCGCCATTTTACTCGTGATAAACATTTTTAAAAGTAATTCTAAGAAGGTCTCTGGAACTAAGTCGAAAAACTCGCCGGAAGTCATGGTCCGATCCTTACGCCATGTTCTGGTTAGCAACCAAGGACGCTTTTAAGTTAGTGAGCCTCCCTAGTTAATAATAATCGAACTTTGATCTTCACAATAATTAACAGTACAATAAGATAATTTACACCAGCCTCAAATTTTGTTACATATTTATTTGAACACCTGGTAAGAAAATGAATAACAAAAGAAATGTAGACACATTGTTGTGTTTTGTGTGTATGTTGTTTTTTTTTTTTTTTTTTGCTGTATGCCGTTGGCCTTCCACTGTCAGCCTCATCCTCCACATTGGGTGTTGTTGATGTTTTGTTTCAAAAATCCTAGGCCCTATAAGCGTTCTGTCCTAAGCATAGGCACTGTTTTCACTTTTTCATGAGCCCCGTAGCTTTTTCTACGTTACATCAGCGTGTTCACTCAACTTCACTGACAGCACCACTCAGCGCCAGTCTCAGAGCAGAGGCAGGAGTGTTACTGGCTCGCTAAATGTAAAAGAACATAGACTATCTCTAGATCTCACTCTTACCAAATTCTTTCGCTGGTGTTTCGGGAACATAATTGAAATGCATGCATCTGGTAATAACAGCATTTTGATTCAGCATTGAAGAACGAGGGAACTTTTGAAGCAAAAGTCCTAGTTGGGTAACAGCCGTCCTAAGTGTTATCATTTTAGTCGCCATTGTAATAATAACAAAGTTAGTGGCTGTGAATATAGCAATTACCTTTTTGATACTGCTAGAACTGAGTCAGTACATTTTAATTTCGCACAATAAGTTAAATTATTTGTAATAATCCGAGTGCTACAAAAATAGATACAGATCTTTGTATGCATATATAGGCTTTATATTTATAAATAAAAATATAGTCATATAGGCCTATATATATATATGAAATTTCAAATTTGATTAATCTCTCCCCACAAAAAAAAACACCCTCTTGGAACGGACTTTATTTATAAGATGTCTCTAGTTCTGACACGAGACAATACGGACTGTATTTATAAGATGTCTCTAGTTCTGACATGAGACAATACGGACTTTATTTATAAGATGTCTCTAGTTCTGACACGAGACAATTAAGACAGAGCCTTAGAACGGGGCAGCATTTTCGGCACAGTGTCTGTTTTAGACTTTTTTTTTACTTGGGGGCGGGGGGGGGCTTCACTTGAAAGTTTCCGGGGGACGGACACTGGTAAAAGTATATATTTTCTTTATATATATTCATTTTTTGCTAAGGGGGGGGGTCTTCAAGGGGGCACAACCCTCCCCCTCCCCACCCCGAAGAGATGCCTGAAAGAAACTCTATTTCAGACAATTAAAGCAGAGCCATAGCTTAGAAAGGGGCAGCATTTTCTGTATCATCATCATTTTTCCCTTTTGTGCCACGTGTGGCCGCCACAGAAAGCCCTTTCCACTTATGCCGTTCTCTGACGATTTTCTTAAGGTAGTTTTCGATATATAGTCCTGCTCTTGTCAGTTATAATTCTGTTGGGTGCCTCCACGTCTTTTAACGTCTTCCCTGTTTTCTTTTTCTTTCTATCGTCTAATGATATTGAAATAGTTGTAACTTTTCCGGACTACCATTTTTTGTTGGTCTGTTTTCTGCTGTTCTTGGGGTTACACTTTCAGCGCCATGCAGTCTGGGGTGGTAGATTGACGTTTGACGCCAACTGTACCCCATCTACACCTCTCTCGGGCTAACTGATCTACAATGTCTTTCTATTGCACTTTTTATTAAAGCCATGCTACTCCTTAGGGGCTTTGCTTATGCCATAAGAAAGAGTTCAGCAAACACCCTGGGTTGTTACACACAGCTTGCTGTTAGTATTCTGCAATGTCATGTCGTCCTCAATGTAGAGATAGTTAAGAGGGACGAAGATTTCATTTTGACGGGAATAACCCTGAAGGTCAACATACGTTTGCTAATAGGGTTATATGCATTTTTAACAATATTTTTTTGTTTTGTTTTGAAAGGACGCTGGATTATCCGTTCTCCTGTAATATTTATACAGTACGCGTCTATGAAAAATTTGCCTGTTAGAAAAGGTAGACTGAGCTATTCTCCTGCTTAAAAATAAATTGTGCATCTAGACTAGATTTAGATCTTGATCTGGTTTCTCAGTTCTGCTAAAATGGCGAATTACATTTCTTTTTATTTACATTGATGTTTTGGTTTACAATGTAAAACAGGGTGGAAGTTGTATGCAATTATGGAAACACCACCCTCGTTTGTTGAAGAAATCGACTTCAAAGAACTTGAGTTCTTAGAGGTAGATATGGGGCAATCTCTAGGACACTCTACTCTAGGTTTACTGGATTAGAAATTAATTAGGGTAATCTATCGGTTTGGGTACGTAAAATCGCCCGCGGCTATTTATGTACGAAAACGTTACCTCATTGTCAAGGCTTTAATAGAAGTATATGGTAAACCTCCATTTCAGCGTATTTTATTCTCCGTTGCTTGTTTACCTCCAGTTGAGCGTATTTTATTCTAACAACCGAAACACACCAAAACATTAGGAAAACACGATTTATTTTTTGTATTGTATTTTTGTTTTAGCAAATGAATAAAAATGAATATTTAAAAAAACACGACTTGTTTATTTGTATTGTATTTTTAAAAAATAAGGCATTTGTCTCATGGTGAAACTGATACACTGTTAATCATTCTGTTTTATATTTTTGTATTTATGCAATAAATGTACAAACTCTTTTTTTTTTAATTTGACAGTTTTGCTAAAACTGAAAATTTTTTTTTACTATAGAGTTGTATGTTATTTAAATTCATAGTAAATCTACCATCCTTCCCTTTTTTGTATGAGTAAATTTCTGACTTTTAAAAAAAATTGATGTGGGGTCGTCCATAAATGACGTCACACTCGTAAGGGAGAGGGGGGTCAGCAATTTTGTGACGGTGTGTGATGAGGGGAGGGGGTGGGGTTTCAGATGGTGTGACGTCCCTTTTTTGCATTATAAAAAAGCAATGTTAGAAAAACAAGTTTTAGCCGTTATTTCGCGTTTTAGAAAACGGTTTTAATAAATTGTAATATGAATTGATCAAAATACTCTATGTTGACAGAGTTCTGACAAGATTTTGGAAAAATTATCGATGTTTTAAGAAAAATTCAACAGAAATTTTGAGGGGGGGGGGGGTTGTAGGCTGAGGTGTGACGTCAGTTTAGGGGGGGGGGGTCTGACTTTTTGTGACGACGTGTAACGGAGGGGAGGGGGGAGGTAAAAATCGTAAAAAAAACGCGTCGTCACAAAAAGCAAGACCCCCCCCCCAAAAATGATGTAGCACCATCTGACCCCCCCCCCCCCCTCCCCCTACGAGTGTGACGTCATTTATGGACGACCTCTAACATTATTTTTTTTAAAATGACAACGTGAGTTGTCACACTTTCTCTAACACTCCAAGCCAGCCCTCACCAAATTCCACCCCCCCCCCCCCGGCCCACTTTTAGCAGCATTATTGTGCCTTTTAATACTTTTATTCAGTTTAGTTGAAATTGGAACACTTAATTGTACAAAATGTGCATCTCTATTTTTGTAACCAACAAACAAAGCACTTCAGTCAGTCTCTTTGTTGTTTTTATACAATACAAATAAACAAGTCGTGTTTTTTAAATATTCATTTTTATTCATTTGCTAAAACAAAAATACAATACAAAAAATAAATCGTGTTTTCCTAATGTTTTGGTGTGTTTCGGTTGTTAGAATAAAATACGCTCAACTGGAGGTAAACAAGCAACGGAGAATAAAATACGCTGAAATGGAGGTTTACCGAAGTATATTGTCATACGTTTGTGTCAAATATTATAGATAAATTAATAATAAACCTAAATCAATGGCTAAATAGTAAATATATCGATATAGGCCAGAAATTAACTTTAAACAGCAGTGTCTGAGAGCAAGATTTGCTATATAAACAGCAGCCATTTGTAAAATAGAGTGGCTTCCCCCTGAATCTGGCGCTAAAAGCTTATAAATATAAAACTTAGACAAGATGGCTGCTATAGTAAATGAGCATGGTTGCATCTGTTGGAAACATCGCTAGTCTTCATTTATTACGGAAAAGTTTTAATTCAATTGTTTAAAAACAGGTACATAAATGAATCAAGGAAACATTTTTGAATTTTTTAAAACATAAATCCTCCTCAAAATGTGAAATAATTATTAAAATTTAAGGAGTCACCTGTTTTTCACATTACAAATCGCGGGCGATTTTACGTACCCAAAACGATAGATTACCGAAATTAGATCTAATCTAGTCTAGTTAGTTAGATATTAGAAGTTAGATCTAGATCTAGATAGTAAAGTACACAGTACACACAGTTCAACATTCAATCTGACCTGACACTGATTCAAGATTGACAGTGACAGGAGTGACATTGCTCTTACTAACTCTTTGAAGTCTTAGTATTAGTTAGATCTAGAAAATCTATTACTTACTCAGTACTGTTAATAGTTAACAGTAACAAACAGTAATAAATTAAATACGAAGTGAAAATTAAATAGAATAAATTGCTTTTTCCGTACACGTCACAAATCTCTACACAAACAACACTGATTTTTGAATGTTGAAGAAATTCCATGTAGAACCACATCCCCCCCCCCCCCCCCACACACACACACTGAGAAGTACATGAGCAGTTTTTATACATATCACCCAATTGAATTAAAAATCTGGTATTTTATTATATCATTGTTATCTTAATAATGTCATTGAGCAAAATTTTAATAAAAACATTGAGATCTTGCTAATTATTATTTAAATTTGCATATGGCAGGAAACAGATTCAACTCTCAAACATCTACTTTTAGGGTCGATTTTCGCCAATTTTCAAAGTAACAAATATTGACATATTATATATCAATATTGTTGCTTAACAATCGAGGAATTCAAAAATATAAAAATTAATAGCACTAGACATCTACATCACGTTCAAAATTTAGATTAACCACACTCACTCAAATGACATTTTTTTTTTTACATCTAAATGTAGTAAGGTCTAAAATCCACGAAATTCACAAAATTAACAATATAATTACACAGAAATGTCACTTAGGCATAAATTTATTTGTAATTATGTCAAGCTTTACAAAATATACCAGTTTATAGCTTATTTCTATAATTATTCTTGAAAAAAAAAACGACCGCTATCCCCTTTAAAAAATGTTCAAAATTCTGGCTTTTAAAAACACTCTGGGGAAGAAAAAAATAACAGAGTTAAATATAGAAGGTCTATATAAAAAATATTATTAGTAAAATATGTCTATATGCCAATTTTTATTATAGTTGCAGCATTTACATGGCTAATTATAATTGTTTAGTACTTTATAAATTAATTTAAAGTTACGACTGTCTGTGGCCTCATTCAAATAGTGTGGTGTCAGTGAACAGGGTGTTAGTTAGGGCCTGATACGATTTCATTAGAATTGGTAATGAACAGAATGTATCATTAGAACTGGCCTATAAAAACAATGTTGATGATAGATGCAGTAGTTTTAATGCTACTTATAATAGATCAAAATGACAAACATAATTAAAACCTAAGAATCTGGAAGCGGTGACCTCATTTTACTGACACGTTTGTCAAATAGTTAGTAAAATCGATCTAGATCTAGAATCGACGTAATTTTGAAAATACGCTAGATCTAGAAGCAAAATCACTTTTAAAAACTAAAGTTAGTGATTAGTTCTGTAATGAAATTGAAATCCACAGCTAATATGTAAGTATCTTTTGATTTAAAAAAAAAATACGCGTAGTTCTAAGAAAAAAAATTCTACGGTGTACTCGATCCCTATCCCAAAACGTGCCAGCCATATCGCATGCGTATTCATCTACTCAGCTGCTTATCAAATCTTCGAATTTTAAATTTATATAATAAAAGTAGGTCACCCTAAAAAAAAAGAGTACAATGGCTCCCGTTTTCACGACAGCCGTCACTCGATTCATAATTTACAGAGTTATAAAGTTCTACTTTCTTTTGGCTATAGATTTGAAGAAATTTAAATTTGTTATTTCTCATGTGTTCCAACAATTGTACCTAATTTTAACAAACATTACATTAGTGAGGACTCGGTTCTTTTTAGGATTAGCCCTCGACACTATACAGACTATTGCGAAGAAACAGACTCGCGCGAATGTCGTGCGTAGGCTGGTTCAGTGGCGAAGGTTAGAAGCCAATTTCAGACGGAAAGTTTTTACTTTGAAATAATTACATTACCAATTAATTTCGATTTAAAACAAATGGCTTAAAGTCAAAAGTAAACTAACATTTAAAAACTTTGTTATTCGCAGTGTACTCAAGATTCTCGTGTTTTAAAGATAAGTCTAGTTTTACTACGTGTGCGTGCATGGTGCGAATACCGATTTTCCGCGACAGAAAATCATTAAAAATATAAAAAAAGTATCTACGGCAAAATAATAATTATATTTTACAGAATTAAATAGATTTAACTTCACTGTTATTTAAATACATGCTTCGGAGTAAAAAAATACAATTTTATATCCGTAAAAAATTAACTGAAATTCCCGCTTTCAGCGACGCCGATGTGTCGTAATTTTCGGCAGTCATTTTGTTCAAATTAAAGTAAAAAACGCATTCAAATATACTTTTTTTTACTTTCATAATTTACAGCAATCATTTCTAATGAAAAATCCATAAAAAAATAATAGTTATTTTTACAAAATATTATTTCTTACCTTATTAGTGCAGTACACGTACTTTCCAAGTAGATCCATTCCGTCTAGATTTGCATACTTCGCATCCTTCGCCGCGGCACAAAATGTCATAAAAAACGAATTCCACAAAAATGTTGCTAACGAAGCTTGTAAAAACCTTGCTCTATTTATCAGTATAAACAAAATCCCCGAACGATGTCTGGTTAGAAAGTTTATGAACGGCGAAGACCGAATATGCATTTTGCGGTACCAATCTGTTTCCTGCCATATTTCAAAGTGCAACACATTTATATATTTATTGATTTGTTTTGAATACTTAGGCTTAGGTAATTTTTTTACAAGTATCAGCATAATTCTGACGTTTGCTGTTGTTTTTGACTATTTCAATTTGCTAGTTCAATGTTTTATCTTGATGTTTGGCTGTAAACATAAAAACTCATTTTTTTTTTTCATAACTGTAGGTTGTAGGAAAAGGTGCATTTGGTGTTGTAAGTCGAGCAAGATGGCGAGGCAAAGATGTAGCAGTGAAACGCATAGAAACCGAGTCAGAAAAAAAAGCATTTATGCAGGAGTTGAAGCAATTGTCCAGAGTTAATCACCCAAACATTGTCAGGCTATATGGGGCATGCAGAGAACACCCTGTAAGTATTTTATTCTCATCTGGTTTTTAATTACTCCACATTTTAAAACTTGTAAGCTTAGGCTACTCATTACTGTTCAATTTAATTTTAAAAATTAAGTTTTGAAATATTTAAATAGCTTAAATAACTGTTCTACATAGGTTTGTCTTGTTATGGAATATGCTGAAGGAGGGTCTCTCTACAATGGTATTTACTATTTTATCTGTTTATGATTTACTAGCTAAGTTTTTATTGTAATGACCCCATTACTTATTTGCCAAACTTTGTTTGGCCTTGTGTCATGTTAATATTGTAAACAATCAAGTTATTTCCACTAGATCCATGGTATTTGCTCTTAATAAAAGCATGTTATTTTGTTTTACAAGAACAATTGTTTACCTATGCTGTTTAGTGCCACTTAATAAATTTAGAAAAAAAAGTCTAATGAAGGTATATGAAGTGAGCACTGAAATTGTTTCCTCAGTCCTCCACGGCTCTGGTCAGCAACCACGATACACACCAGCTCACGCCATGAGCTGGTGTCTACAGTGTGCCAGGGGTGTTGAGTACCTACACAATATGAAGCCTAAGGCTTTGGTTCACAGAGACTTGAAACCTCCAAAGTCAGTGCTAATTTTATATCATCAGTAGTCAGTGCTTATTTATGTCATCATTAGTTAGTGCTTATTTATGTCATCAGTAGTCAGTGCTTATGTCATCATTAGTCAGTGCTTATTTTATGTCATCAGTAGTCAGTGCTTATGTCATCATTAGTCAGTGCTTATTTATGTCATCAGTAGTCAGTGCTTATGTCATCATTAGTCAGTGCTTATTTATGTCATCAGTAGTCAGTGCTTATTTATGTTATCAGTAGTCAGTGCTTATTTTATGTCATCAGTAGTCAGTGCTTATGTCATCATTAGTCAGTGCTTATTTATGTCATCAGTAGTCAGTGCTTATGTCATCATTAGTCAGTGCTTATTTATGTCATCAGTAGTCAGTGCTTATGTCATCATTAGTCAGTGCTTATTTTATGTCATCAGTAGTCAGTGCTTATTTATGTCATCAGTAGTCAGTGCTTATTTGTGTCATCAGTAGTCAGTGCTTATTTATGTCATCAGTAGTCAGTGCTTATTTATGTCATCAGTAGTCAGTGCTTATTTATGTCATCAGTAGTCAGTGCTTATGTCATCATTAGTCAGTGCTTATTTTATGTCATCAGTAGTCAGTGCTTATGTCATCATTAGTCAGTGCTTATTTATGTCATCAGTAGTCAGTGCTTATGTCATCATTAGTCAGTGCTTATTTATGTCATCAGTAGTCAGTGCTTATTTATGTCATCAGTAGTCAGTGCTTATTTTATGTCATCAGTAGTCAGTGCTTATGTCATCATTAGTCAGTGCTTATTTATGTCATCAGTAGTCAGTGCTTATTTTATGTCATCAGTAGTCAGTGCTTATGTCATCATTAGTCAGTGCTTATTTTATGTCATCAGTAGTCAGTGCTTATGTCATCATTAGTCAGTGCTTATTTTATGTCATCAGTAGTCAGTGCTTATTTATGTCATCAGTAGTCAGTGCTTATTTGTGTCATCAGTAGTCAGTGCTTATTTATGTCATCAGTAGTCAGTGCTTATTTATGTCATCAGTAGTCAGTGCTTATTTATGTCATCAGTAGTCAGTGCTTATTTATGTCCAGTAGTCAGTGCTTATTTATGTCATCAGTAGTCAGTGCTTATTTATGTCATCAGTAGTCAGTGCTTATTTATGTCATCAGTAGTCAGTGCTTATTTTATGTCATCAGTAGTCAGTATTTATTTATGTCCAGTAGTCAGTGTTACTTTATGTCATCAGCAGAAGCAATGTGTAGTGATGTAATGTGTATGAAAGGGGTATACATGAAACGGATCACTGCATGTGTGTATATATGCTGTCACAATATGCGAGGCCAGGTGTGTTGACGTGTATGTTGTTGTATGGAGTGAACGAGGTTACAAGGGAAGCGACTGGTTGAGTGACAGCGGTTGTGAGCGAAAGAAAGGCGTTGGATAGGTATGAATAAGTAGGATAGTTGAAGGTTGGGGTAGAAAGAGAAAGGTTGATATGTGGCTAGACAAGGAAATTGGTTGGATTAAACAGACTGTTGGTGTACCTGATTCCTGTCGCTCTCACACAGTGATAATTTATATTACCAGTAATATTGATTTTTTTCTTGTTTCAATTTTTTTTGTTTTCGAATTACCAAATCATTGCACAAAATAATAAATATACTGGCTGTAGTTATATCTTTCTAGTTACCAAACTGATGAGTCATAGTGTAATTCATCTCCTAATGATTTCAGTTTACTTTTGATAATGGGAGGCACAGTGCTGAAGATCTGTGATTTTGGCACTGCTTGTGATATACAAACCCACATGACTAACAACAAGGGGAGTGCAGCGTGGATGGCTCCAGAAGTGTTTGAAGGTAAACCATAGTGGGGAAGAGGAGGATAGTTTTACCATAATTTCAAAGACCTAGAAAAATATAACCAGAAATTCTATTTATTAACTTAGTTATACCTCTTTACAAATACAACATATACATTTTTAAAATTTGATGTAAGTAAACTAGTTCTGAGTTTTAATGATTTAGCTTTGTAAAATTATTAATGAGTTACTTCTGCCAAATAGTTATACAAGATTCTGTAGAGACAGTATCATTTACAATAACTATTTACATTATAACCTCTGATAAGCATCCACAACCAATGACACAATCACGAAGCACAGAAAGGGATGGACATTTGATTGTTTGTTTCATATTCTTACCCACCCCTTCCCCCCATGCTGCAGATTGCTTATTTCAAAAGCCACAAGACCATAACTAGGATCAAAATAATTTAATTCCTATGGATGATTGTGGTGTTTCCTAGGGTCCATCTACAGTGAAAAGTGTGATGTCTTCAGCTGGGGTATAATCTTATGGGAGGTTCTCACACGGAGAAAACCCTTTGATGAAATAGGGGGTCCTGCGTTTAGAATCATGTGGGCTGTTCATAATGGTAAGTTACAACCTTAAATAGCAGTAGAAATTATTTTTTTAAGCATGTTTTAAGGTCATTTTTTCTTCACAATATCAACTGAATTGAATGGTTTAAATTTAAATAAAAAAGTACTTTTTTCACATCATTTCTCAATTCTGTCTTGATTCTGTTAGAGTACATTCTCATATTGCACTGAACTGTAAAGATAGTGACTGCTTGTCTTACAGGTAGAAGACCTCCTTTCATACAGAAGTTGCCAAAGCCACTTGAAGTTCTTATGACAAGGTAGGCCTGTATGCTTTTAAGTCTTTTGTTGACATAATTCACCCTACCAATAAGTAGATGTCTAATAACATATCTAAAGCTGATTTGACCAAAGTAAGAAGAGTAAATCATGTTTTCTACTGACTGCCCATTGACAGGTGCTGGTCAGGCAACCCATCAGAGAGGCCTTCCATGGCTGAGGTGGTCAGGGTGATGACCTACATGTGCCAGGTGTGTGATAGATCTTAGTTTGGTTTACAACTTACCTGTCTCTAGATTCAGATTTGGTTTATAGTTTAAACATTTTTTTTTTTTACATTTTTACTTGAATACATAATTTATTCCCATTTTTTGTAAAGTTTTTCCCAGGAGGTGATGAGCCGTTGGTTATATCAAGGATTCAGGACCTTGATGATGAGGAGGAAGACAGTAAGTAGTCATAGTCAGGCACAGAATGTAATGCTGGGGATTTGTTTTATCAACATGTTGCTGCTGTCATAGTCCCCAATGTAATGCTGGGGATTTGTTTCATCAACATGTTGCTGCTGTCATAGTCCCCAATGTAATGCTGGGGATTTGTTTCATCAACATGTTGCTGCTGTCATAGTCAGGCACAGAATGTGATGCTGGGGATTTGCTTCATCAACATGTTGCTGTCATAGTCAGGCACAGAATGTAATGCTAGGGATTTGTTTCATCAACATGTTGTTGTCACAGTCAGACACCCCAATGTAATGCTAGGGATTTGTTTCATCAACATGTTGCTGCACCAAAACCCATGACACCTATTCTTACATAATACCTACCTGCTCTCTGTCACTGTGCTTACATCACACTTACCTCCCTACCTGCTCCTGTCCTCATCAACATTATTACAATATTTAGAAAATCAATGTCTGTTTCAGTGAACAAGAATTGTAGTTTTGCTGAGTAAATGATGTACTAAAGTTAATTTTATTCCCCCCCAGTGGAGTCCAATAGGCCGTACATGGAAACACCAAGTGTTGCCATGACTGGGGAGTCCCGAGCCAGCACAATCAGTGATACTCTACGGTACCATGACACAAGACATGCTTACAATACTCCTGTTGTTGTTGAGGTACTCAACTTGCATACTCTGGTCCAGCTATGTGTGATCATTTTATAACTGGTTAACAGACGTTATACACATCCTTTTTACAATTTTAATGTGTGATCATTTGATAACAACTGGTTTACAATTTTCCTTGCCACTGTATTTATGTATTTACTGTAAGAAAATTGTTGTTACAAGCTCATCTTCTCTTGAATTAGGATAATAAAATACATCGGGGTCAGATGAGTGCACCACCATCTTTAGCTGCCAGCCGTGAAAGTCTAAATGACCCCAGGGGGTCAAGGTCAGCTACGCCAGTGGATTCTGGGAAGAGATTCTCTGCCGATCTTACTAAATTGGATGAACTGGATTTGTCAGGTCATCAGGCCACAGCTCAACCCCACAAAGGTGAGGGGGGGATGAAAGTTTGGCGTAGCGGGGATAGATGGATGGTTGGCATAGTTTTAGGGAAGGCTGGTACTGTGTTGGTGGGGGGGGGGGGGTGTAATGTAAGTTTGGCATATTGGGGAGGGTTTATGAAAAGTTGGCATTGTTGGGGGAAGGGGGGGGGGGTCGTGGATAGTGCAATGGAAGCATGTTGGTCTACATTGATACATGGTCTTTTTTATTTAACCAAGCTGTTCAATATCATGTGCTCTTTTATGTTTTTGTTTAGAGGTTTTTGTGTTGCTTACACAAAACTGAATTTGCTTGACAGAAACAGAAAAACCAATTGTAGGCATGCTCACATTTTATCATGATAAATCACTTGATATCTCATCAATTCTGACTTGTGACAATCACTTGATGTGTCATCAATTCTGGCTTGTGACAATCACTTATGATATCACATCAATTCTGACTTGTGACAATCACTTATGATATCACATCAATTCTGACTTGTGACAATCACTTGATGTGTCATCAATTCTGGCTTGTGACAATCACTTATGATATCTCATCAATTCTGACTTGTGACAATCACATGATATCTCATCAATTTTGACTTGTGACAATCACTTGATATCTCATCAATTCTGACTTGTGACAATCACTTGATATCTCATCAATTCTGACTTGTGACAATCACTTGATATCTCATCAATTCTGACTTGTGACAATCACTTGATATCTCATCAATTCTGACTTGTGACAATCATTTGATATCTCATCAATTCTGACTTGTGACAATCACTTGATATCTCATCAATTCTGACTAGTGACAATCACTTGATATCTCATCAATTCTGACTTGTGACAATCATTTGATATCTCATCAATTCTGACTTGTGACAATCATTTGATATCTCATCAATTCTGACTTGTGACAATCACTTGATATCTCATCAATTCTGACTTGTGACAATCACTTGATATCTCATCAATTCTGACTTGTGACAATCATTTGATATCTCATCAATTCTGACTTGTGACAATCACTTGATATCTCATCAATTCTGACTTGTGACAATCACTTGATATCTCATCAATTCTAACTTGTGACAATCACTTATGATGTTACTCTAAAACTATACCCAACATTTGTCACTTGACATCTCTCAAACCATACCCAACATATCTGTTTGACTGTCACTTGATATCTCTAAAACTATACCGAGTATACCTAGATTATCTGTTTGACTGTCATTTGATATCTATAATTACCATCTTATCATGTCTGTTTGACTAATGTCAGTCGATGGAATCATTGAATCATTGAACTGTCATACAACATTGCAACTGTACCATTAGTCCACATTGTTAATGTAGAATGTATACTACTGGGTGTGCTAAGATCTGTAATCAGTATATAGACACCATGATATATCAAATAATATGTGCATGAATGTAAAAGTCTACCCAAGCATAACCTCTCCCATGTTAGGGAACTGGTTTCTGTCTATAACCTTTAACCCTCTGTTGTCTGAGTTGCTACCTGCTTCATCTTTTTATAGTGCTCAAAGAGTTGTATTCACATTACAAAATTTTTTGTTGGACCCTGTTTGTAGGACACTGTATGTAAGACCCTGTTTTTTGGACCCTGTTTGTCAGACCCTGTTTGTAGGACCTGTATGTAGGACCCTGTATGACCCTGTTTGTTGGACCCTGTATGACCCTATTTGTTGGACCCTGTATGTAGGCCCTGTTTGTTAGACCCTGTATGTTGGACCCTGTATGTAGGCCCTGTTTGTTGGACCCTGTATGTAGGACCCTGTATGTAGGACCCTGTTTGTAGGACCCTGTATGTAGGCCCTGTTTGTTGGACCCTGTATGTAGGCCCTGTTTGTTGTACCCTGTATGTAGGACCCTGTATGTAGGACCCTGTTTGTAGGACCCTGTATGTAGGCCCTGTTTGTTGGACCCTGTATGTAGGCCCTGTTTGTTGGACCCTATTTGTTGGACAGTGTTTTTTGTTTGTAACATGTACATTGGACGTTAAAATAGTCTTGTATAACCAATGGAAAATGTTCATGGAATCTACACAAATACATTTATTTATAATACTTTACAGTCAAAACATGAAACATTTTCTTTCTATTCTGATGTTTTACACTACTTACATGTATTGTTGTGTTTATAATTAACTTTGACTAAAGCCATGGACATTGTGTTGTTGAAAGAGTACCAAAGTGCATGTGTGTTATGCTTCCATTGTCTTCCTCCAAACACCAGTGGCAGGTCATAGAAGGTCAGGGTCACAAGGAACCACACCCGCTTATGTGGGGGCACCAGGACCTCCCTATGTCCAGACTCCCCAGGGTAAGTTGATACACCCTCCAGTCTTCCAGTTTTTGTATGCCTCTCTCACTTCATCTTGACCTAGCTTTATGAGACATTAGATTTTAATGCTTTTATAATTCAAGTTTATGTTATTCAAACTTTAGCCCTCTCTTATCACAAAGCTTAATAAATTTTATTTTTGGTTGTATGTTAAGACTTCAAAAAACTGTGAAGATGGCTCCATGCTGAGTAATTATAAAAAAAAACAAATGTTATCCACTACACTATGGCAAAGGTCTCCAGCCCATTCATACCATTAGACTATGTTTCAGTATTGTTGTGTTGTATGTGTTGACTTAGTAGCTTGTTGTGTTGACCTATTGGCTTGTTGTGTTTTCATACTTTGATGCTGTGTTTTGATATTTTGATGTGTTTAGATAGTTTAATGTGTTTTGATAGTTTGACATTGTTTTTGATAGATTGATGTTGTGTTTTGATAGTTTGACATTGTGTTTTGATGTTGTGAGAGTAGGAATGTTCCACCTGCACCCTATGATTGTGTATTCCCCATCCCACCCCAACTTGTGTATCAGTCCATTCAAGTATTTATTCCTGTCCCATCCAGGCTGGAGAGGTATGCTATTTCAGCTTTGTTTTAATTCCAACTGTTCTAACATTTTGGTTGTCTGAGGGTCACAGTTTTATCTCAAACTTTTTGTTTCCCCCATATTAACCCACTGTTTTCACCAGTGTATTAAAAATAGTGATTGAGCCATACATTATAGAAGCATTCGGCTATTGAACTCTTGATGCTAGAGAGTTACCTCAGCCTATTTCAGTGGCCAGCTTCAACATTTGAATCAAGTACTTTGGGGCTACAGTTTACTTACACATTACTAAAACAAAAGCTTTTTACAGTAGCTGCTGCAGAGATGTCTCTGCATATCCTGCACCAAATAGTTTTGTTTAAATATCTGGCTCTAAACCTTTGGGAAGAGGGCACCTACTTATCTTATAACAGACAAGAAATAGTTCTGGAAAGAAAATCATTGTTAAAATAAGTAATGAATGTAATGAAGTTTGATCTAACATTGTGTAAGTTAGAGCTGCTTAAGACTTTTGGCCTGCAGCTGCTGCTGGCTGAAAGAGATGTAGCCACTGACTTAGTTTAGCTCTAGCTTGTGCTGTGATTTTCTCTCAACTAGCAAGTTTGATATGTGCATGTGTGTGAAATTTTTTTGTTGCACCCCAGGCCCAAGGCAGGGCCGGAGCGGCTCCATGGACAACATTCTCCTTGTACGGCCCAGCTTCTCTAACTTCCCACAAATTATTGTAACCCCCTCACCTCCAGCGGAAGGTACTCTTGATATTTTATTTTTACAGTGCATCCTGCTCTATATACCTCAGTAACACCTTAAGCTAGATGTAGGTAACTTGGCTAGAAATCCTCCATGTATGTGGTACAAATAAAACTCAAGTGACATAAGTCTTAAAATGTTTAGGACCAAATGTAACCCAAACTTTTGCATGTTCATAGTCAACTAAATTTCAGCTCGTAAGTTTTTCACTTAATCACATCAATGTTATGAAATTATAATTAGTTGCTACCTAATAAGATAATCATGCTAATCTATTTAAAACCTTAAAGTTTTATTAATCCTTGTCATTTGTTGTTGTTTTACTTTTAAAGCCACACTAGCTCTTCAATTTAAAAAGAATACCAATTCAAATGATACGTGAGCAGTTTCCTTGGCCTCACAACACTAGCTGTTTCCCTGCAACTTGTATCATCTCCTACTACATCCCACTACATCCACCCTGCAGACAAATCTGTCAATAATAAATCAACACATATGTTTTATTGTGCGGGAGACAGCCCTGTGTTAGAAGTACATCTGACACATACACTTTAATTTTCAGATAATTTAACAGCTGCTTCAAGTGTTATATTAATTAACTTTCCCACTCACTTATGCATTATGTCCCCACTAACCTACTGACCATCTGGTGACCCCACTAACCTACTGACCATCTGGTGACCCCACTGACCATCTTGTGACCCCACTGACCTTGTGGTGACCCCACTAACCTACTGACCTACTGGTGACCCCACTGACCTACTGACCATCTGGTGACCCCACTGACCTTCTGGTGACCTACTGACCATCTGGTGACCCCACTGACCTTCTGGTGACCCCACTGACCTACTGACCTTCTAGTGACCCCACTGACCTTCTAGTGACCTCACTGACCTACTGACCATCTGGTGACCCCACTGACCTACTGACCATCTGGTGACCTCACTAACCTACTGACCATCTGGTGACCCCATTGACCTTCTGACCATCTGGTGACTCCACTAACCTTGTGGTGACCCCACTAACCTAATGACCATCTGGTGACCTCACTGACCTACTGACCATCTGGTGACCTCACTGACCTACTGACCATCTGGTGACCCCACTGACCTACTGACCATCTGGTGACCTCACTAACCTACTGACCTTCTGGTGACCCTACTGACCATCTGGTGACCCCACTGACCTACTGACCATCTGGTGATCCCAATTAACTCATTGATGTGCACTTATTTTGTTAACTGAAGTTTGTTTGAACATACTTTGTCCAACTACTAACATTTACATTAAAACTTATAAATGTAATTAATCCAAACAATGAGAGAGCTATAAAAAGTTATGAGTTGATAAAAACAAGAAAATGTGTGTGGAAAAAACAACTCCCCTTCCTCAGCTGTAGTCTGCAATAGTTTTGTAAGCCTTGTGTGTAGTTGCTTTGGTTAACCCTTTGAGCCCGCACCTCCCTGGCCTAATTTCTCCCATTTCCTGAGCTCCCAGGGCCAAACCAATTTTCACTTATCTGCTTCTAACTTTGCCTATAACTTTTGAACCGTTTGAGATAATCAAGCCAAATTTGGTATCCAGACTCAGGATCAAACAACAATGCAGCAAGATTCGGAAATTGTTTACTTTTTTACAATCTATGAACAGAACAATGTATATAAAAAAAACACATAATTATTATCAACACTCAAAGGAGACTGAAGTTTTACAGAACGTACTTGAACAGTTTCATTGTCACTGTAAATTTCAATGTCACTGTGTTCAGTCTCAAATTCAAAGTCACTATCATCACAATATAGACCAGGAATATTATCTTCTTCATCAGAATCAATAAGTAGTTGTATTGCCTGAGATGCAGTCATTCTACTTCTTTTGTTGATATTTTGGTCTTTTGCTTCATCTTTTGCACCAACTTGTGTGCTGAAGTCGATGGCTGTGGCTCAGGTTTTCGTTTCGGCGGCATTGCTACGAAATGTAAACACTTTCACTTTTCCTAAAATCTATTTTAGAATCATAATCCTGCACTAAAAAGGCATATGCGCAGTTTTAGTCAGTCTTTCGCTAATTATGTTTAATTAGACGATATACCGGCCGCTAGGAATATGATGCTAGATCATCGGCCTGGAAAACCGGCTTTTCTGACATATATGCCTAATGTTGAAGCCGGTTTACCGGCCTGGCTGGCTCAAAGGGTTAAACAACTCCCCTTCCTCAGCTGTAGTCTGCAATAGTTTTGTAAGCCTTGTGTGTAGTTGCTTTGGTTAACAACTTCATCTGGCTACTGGCTGCTTTTTGTGCTAACACTGGGACTGAAATGGTTTGACTCTTCACCAACTATTACAGAATTAAATTACAGTTGTTTAAACTAATTCTTAATTAGTTATTAGAAGCAGGCTTTGTTTCTTTAACATACAGTTATTATTTTATTAAATGCAACTTAATTTCAAAAATGATCTTTTGTCATTTAACTGATTACATTAATGCCAAAACTTTTTAAATCTTCTATTTCAAGTAGCAGTTAGTTAATCATTGGTAAATGCTGCTAAAATTGCATGAGGTCTAGTAGCAGTATAAAGTAAATAGAGCTTAATGCATAGTTCTAATGTTTGCTAGAAGTGCTTTCAATATTAGCAACATGCCAACATTGTAAGTTGAAAATCTGTTGCTCATTATTACTTCCTCATATCGAGGGAACATTTTAATGTTTGAAATATATCTGAAAGTTTTTGCAGTCAGACCTCTTTACTCTGTAGGTATTGGACATTTTAATGTTTGAAATATATCTGAAAGTTTTAGCAGTCAGACCTCTTTACTCTGTAGGTATTGGACATCGACGCATTGGCTCAGACGAGTCCTCCTCCATCTCCACACCTCTGACCATCAACACAGGTGTCAGCAGCCCTGTCCACAGCCCAGGTATCACCAACCCTGTCCACCACAGCAACACCTACCCCAGTCAGCTGGACTACTGTGGCCGGCCATCTTATCGAGGCCCAGGTGACAACCAGACAGTGCCCTCTCCGTCAAGGTCAATATCCTACCAGCACCCACCCCATGAGCAGGTTGATGTTTCTCCTAGATCTGCCTCAGTCAGCTCCAATGTTCATCTGCCCAAGATGGCACGACAAGGACATGAAGCAGGTACTCAACAGAGCTAGAACTGTTTTCTATGTCGTTTTTATTTTACAGGTCACATGTTTTCTCTAGACAAAAGAATGGCTAAACTAGACCACATGTTTTCTCTAGACAAAAGAATGGCTAAACTAGACCACATGTTTTCTCTAGACAAAAGAATGGCTAAACTTGACTAGATGTGTTTTCTCTAGAGAAATGAATGGCTAGACTAGACCACATGTGTTTTATCTAGACAAAAGAATGGCTAAACTTGACTAGATGTGTTTTCTCTAGACAAAAGAATGATAAGACGACCCTCTTTGAGCACTATACTAGTTGATGTGGCATGTGCTTGCTGCTCTTGCTTATAATCACTTGTTGTGTGTACATTCACCTTTGTTTAATACAGAGGCATTGTATGGGGAGTGCTTAGGTTGAGAGGTTAGATTTATTATAGTTTTCTTTAATAATGAATATCTAACATTTTTAAAATTGTCTTTTTCTGTAATTAGCATTTGCCAATGTGGAACACACCTACTTAAATAATGACGCCTACTTTTCTCTTGAACCACATTTGCAGGTAAGAGAGTTTTTGAAATATTCACTTTTTAAAATCCAGAGTTAAAGTTCCTGTTAAACTTTTAATCCAGAGTTCTAGTTCTTGTTTACCCTAGATAACCTTCAGCATGTGCTTTGTTTCAGCCCATCCCACCCTGTCCTTCTAACAAAGAATCTATGCAAATTTTTGAAGAACATTGCACTGTAAGTTTTTTTAACAACCAGTAAGATAGCTTTTAAACTCCCCTAGTTGGATAGTTAAAAAATTTGAACTAGAAGTGTCCAAATAAAAGCTCCACCGTGATTATTGCTCGTTCTTTGTTTCTCTTTGACAGCTGGCTCAGCAGTACTTAAGAATGCAGGCAGAAATTGCTGTACTCACACAAAGAAAGTTGGTTTGCTTTAGCACCATTATATTTGTTAACATTAGCCGCAACCTTCTTCATTAACTCAATTGGTTGGCCATATATCTGGCCATTCTAACAGGCTGATATAGTTGGCCATTTATTTGGCCACTTTACATACTGATATAGTTGGCCATTTATCCCATGAATTAACTGTTGCTGACTGTATCCTCTATTAGACATGGTTGGCCATTTATCTGGCCACTTTACCAGGCTGATAAAGTGATATAGTTGGCCATTTATCTGGCCACTTTACATACTGATATAGTTGGCCATATATCTGGCCACTTTACCAGGCTGATATAGTTGGCCATTTATCTGGCCACTTTACATACTGATATAGTTGGCCGTATATCTGGCCACTTTACCAGGCTGATATAGTTGGCCATTTATCTGGCCACTTTACATACTGATATAGTTGGCCATATATCTGGCCACTTTACCAGGCTGATATAGTTGGCCATATATCTGGCCACTTTACATACTGATATAGTTGGCCATATATCTGGCCACTTTACCAGGCTGATATAGTTGGCCATATATCTGGCCACTTTACCAGGCTGATATAGTTGGCCATATATCTGGCCACTTTACCAGGCCGATATAGTTGGCCATATATCTGGCCACTTTACCAGGCTGATATAGTTGGCCATATATCTGGCCACTTTACCAGGCCGATATAGTTGGCCATGTATCCCATGAACTGTTGTCCCCCACCAGACATGAACTCAACAAAGAGCGAGAGCGCCAGGAAGAGCGGAGTCTACAGAACAGAACACATCTGGCTGAGCTGGAGGAATACACCAAGCTGTCTGCTGAAAATGTGGGTTGGTTTTAGTAACACAAGGCTCCCCTCAGCTGTGTCTTACATATGTGGGTTGGTTTCAGTAACACAAGGCTCCCCTCAGCTGTGTCCTCTTACATGGAGCTCACTCTCTCATTACTTGTATCAGAACATTTAATCAACTGACAAATCAAGGTTTATTCTACATCATTAACACTAAACAAAACCTTCAGGTTTAAATAAAACCTTAAGGTTGGTTTTAAACTGACACATTCATGTTGAACTCAAATCTCGATCTGTCGTCCATCTTTTCCAGGAAAGTCTGATGAGTGTCCACAGGGAACTGAAGGCCCAGGTAGAGATGTACAAAAAAGCAGGTGCAAAAAGGATTGGCTAACTGGCCCCAAATGTACGGCTTGGGGTGGTTTGTTAGAAGACATCAGGTACCTGAACTCATTGAGGCAGGGGGATTATTCCAGAGTTGAGTCCCTTTGTAAATTGTGGTGTTCAGTTGTCAGTCACTAGCCAACAGTTTAAAAAATTTTACAATGATTTTGTTTCTTCTAAAATGTGTTTGTAAAAAAAGTAAAGTAATGAAAGTTGTATAAATTTGTAAATAATTGTTCTAGTAACTCTATGCATTGCTTTTATTGTATTCAATATCTACTTGTTGGAGAATGGAAGTGACATCAAATATGTTGACATTATAGGCCTACAGCTGTCTGTGTTTTTTAACTGTTGGATTTTACAAAGCATTTTCTTTATTTAAAAACTCCTTTGTGTTCTTAGCTAAGAATTTTTAAACAAAATATTCAAGACACAATCTATGTAGACACTGTCTTAAGGTAGCTTGACCACATGGACACTGTCCTAAGGTAGCTTGACCATTTAGACACTGTCTTAAGGTAGCTTGACCATCTGAACACTGTCTTAATGTAGCTTGACCACATGGACACTGTCCTAAGGTAGCTTGACCATTTAGACACTGTCTTAAGGTAGCTTGACCATCTGAACACTGTCTTAATGTAGCTTGACCACATGGACACTGTCCTAAGGTAGCTTGACCATTTAGACACTGTCTTAAGGTAGCTTGACCATCTGAACACTGTCTTAATGTAGCTTGACCACATGGACACTGTCCTAAGGTAGCTTGACCATTTAGACACTGTCTTAAGGTAGCTTGACCACATGGACACTGTCTTAATGTACTTTAAACCCTACTCACCTATCTGACTTAGGTCACAATTATGACAGCTCTAGCAAGTCACAGAACTTTTGGTTTGTCCTATGATGCCAAGTTTTTCTCAGCAGAAAGTAGTTGGTTTTGTTTTGTAATGTTATCAGTGGTTGAAATAAACTTGTTCCTATATAAACTGATTTCATTTAATTATTTTTTTTATTGAGACTGAAAGATGTCAGTAAACACCTGAATGGATGTATGTTAAATGTTAGTAAAAACGAAGCAATTCGAAAATGAGTATGTGATTCTGACATAGTTTTCTTCGTTAGCTACGCAACACCAAGCTTTTCTGAATTGATGTTAGCAAGTTTTTGAGGCTTGATAGTTCAGTATCCCCGAAGAGATGCCTGGAAGAAACTGAGTGATGCGCTTAGTGAATGTGTCTGTGATCCCATATGCCGAGCCTGCCAGGTGTACACTTGCCTACAACTGACACCGTTCGGCTTGACCTCGCCAGTTTGTTGAAAATCTGGCCAGCTCAAGCTCTTGATTTATTGATTTAATCCCCACATTGACAGCCAGTGTTAAGATGCACCAACAGTAAAACACGACCACCTCGCCAGGCGTACAGGTATGACAGGTGAAAACAAGGTCAATATTGGCGTGGTTGTCGTCTGTTGGGCGAGGTAGTTGCCAGTTGGTCGTGGATTAAATAGATGGCCAGAAACAAGTAGAGAGCTCAGATCTACTTCATGTAAGTTACCCGAGAAGTAGACTTAAAAGGTGGTAGATGTGAATTTATTTTTTAATGATAATTGTATTGGACGTAGCCTATTATACTACCAACACTTAAAAATAATTAGACCTATAGACATGGCAGCTCTTAAAGGCAATCAATAAGTGTACTCTCCATAATTAAAAAGTTGTTTATGATTGACGACGCCTTATAGAAGGAGTGGGCCAACACGTACAGGCTGGTGCCAGATAAATAGGTGTTTGACTGTCAGTCTGGCATCGTCGGCTGTCATCAAGTGTAGACACCTGCACACCACGTGACACGGCAACAGCCAATCACGTCACACCCCACAACAAACGTAAAATTTGCAAACTTTGTCTTATCAAGTATTGGTAGACCGTCTCGTAAGACACTGTCTTGTGACCATGTCTTAAGACATTAGTTGTAGACCCTGTCTTAAGACAGTAGTTGTAGACCCTGTCTTAAGGCAGTAGTTGTAGACCCTGTCTTAAGGCAGTAGTTGTAGACCCTGTCTTAAGGCAGTAGTTGTAGACCCTGTCTTAAGACAGTAGTTGCAGACCCTGTCTTAAGGCAGTAGTTGTAGACCCTGTCTTAAGACAGTAGTTGCAGACCCTGTCTTAAGGCAGTAGTTGTAGACCCTGTCTTAAGACAGTAGTTGTAGACCCTGTCTTAAGACAGTAGTTGTAGACCCTGTCTTAAGGCAGTAGTTGTAGACCCTGTCTTAAGGCAGTAGTTGTAGACCCTGTCTTAAGACAATAAGTCTTATAGACCATGTCTTAAGACCAGCAGCTGTCTTAAGACCAGCATCTGTCTTAAGACAGTCGTTGCCGGAGAAATCTCTCAGAGAGCAGCGTTTAGTGTTTCAATAGTGTATTACTCTGTAATAATTCTCAATCGATTTTATCGATTAGCATGAACGATTGATTTCTTCACGGTGACTTTATTATCTAAACTCTAAAATTTCGCTTCATTTGAGTCTGTTCAGCAAAGCGTAGAGCCCCAAATTGTGGGGCATACCTTGCTCAGACCTCTATCCCGTGTCGCGAGGTTAGGGGCGGGGTCAGGCGCTACACAATCAAAGGGCCACCACTCGATCGATACGTTTGTAAGGGGAGGTAACTGGAGGGTGAACACGTTTAAGTTTGGTGCATTCTTGTGATTGTGTTGACATTTCGGGCTGGAAGATTTTGGTGCGTGGAGCTGCAGACTGTAGGTAAGGAAGGTAAATAGTGGGAGGTTCGATAGGTTTATAGGGTAGTAGGTAGGCTCGATAGGTTTATAGGGTAGTAGGTAGGTTCGATAAGTTTATAGGGTAGTATGGAGCTTTATAGGGTAGTAGGTAGCCACGATAGGTTTATATGGTAGTAGGTAGCCTCGATAGATTTACAGGGTAGTAGGTAGGTTCGATAGGTTTATAGGGTAGTAGGTAGGTTCGATAGGTTTATAGGGTAGTATGGAGCTTTATAGGGTAGTAGGTAGCCACGATAGGTTTATAGGGTAGTAGGTAGGCTCGATAGGTTTATAGGGTAGTAGGTAGGTTCGATAGGTTTATAGGGTAGTAGGTAGGTTCGATAGGTTTATTGGGTAGTAGGTAGGCTCGATAGGTTTATAGGGTAGTAGGTAGGTTCGATAGGTTTATAGGGTAGTAGGTAGGTTCGATAGGTTTATAGGGTAGTAGGTAGGCTCGATAGGTTTATTGGGTAGTAGGTAGGCTCGATAGGTTTATAGGGTAGTAGGTAGGTTCGATAGGTTTATAGGGTAGTAGGTAGGTTCGATAGGTTTATATGGTAGTAGGTAGGTACAGGGTGTGATGTGTTTATACAATACGCATTAAGGTGTAAGAGTTGTATAAATAATGCAGGGAGGTAAGTAGCTGGGGATTAAGTTTATAAATAAGTAGATACTGTCATCTGTGTACACAACTGTCATATGTGTACAATGTCATCTGTGTACACTACTGTCATATGTGTACACTAATATCATCTGTGTACACTAATGTCATCTGTGTACACTAATGTCATCTGTGTACACTAATGTCATCTGTGTACACTAATGTCATCTGTGTACACTAATGTTATTTGTGTACAATAATGCCATCTGTGTACACTACACTAATGTCATCTGTGTACACTAATGTCATCTGTGTACACTAATGTCATCTGTGTACACTAATGTCATCTGTGTACAGTAATGTTATCTGTGAACACCGGTTAAACCAGACAACACCAAGCTGTAGAACACGATAAGAGCCAATTTCGTCACGAACCAAACAGATCTGACAACCACACAGACGTCTTGTAGACAAGTGCCAGATTTGTATCTCATGTTCGTCATGTCAATCTACCCCACCCACACCTACACACATGACACACCACACAGACGTCTTGCAGACAAGTGTCAGATTTGAACCTCATGTTCGTCATGTCAATCTACCCCACCCACACCTACACACATGACACACCACACAGACGTCTTGCAGACAAGTGTCAGATTTGAACCTCATGTTCGTCATGTCAATCTACCCCACCCACACCTACACACATGACACACCACACAGACGTCTTGCAGACAAGTGTCAGATTTGAACCTCATGTTCGTCATGTCAATCTACCCCACCCACACCTACACACATGACACACCACACAGACGTCTTGTAGACAAGTGCCAGATTTGTATCTCATGCTCGTCATGTCAATCTACCCCACCCACACCTACACACATGACACACCACACAGGTAACGTACACACATGTACCCCACCCACACCTGCACACATGACACACCACACAGGTAACGTACCCACATCTACCCCACATCTACCCACACCTACACACACCACACCTCCCCACAGGTAAGGTTGTAAACTTCCTTCCATACAAACACGACCTTTACATTTTAGCGCTGCGTGCCTGGGTCAGGCCAGACATGACGTCATTGTCACGTGATAGCCTTCATGTGTCACTCAACGGGTCAACTGCCAATGTGTTGTCATGACATGAATGTGTAAGATCAAGCAGACATATGCTCATCACAAACTTTACAAACATGCCACATTATAAACATCTTACAACTATCACAAACATGCTACAACTGTCACATCAAAAACTTGCCACAACTGTCACATTACAAACATGCTGTCATTATCATATTACAAACACACTACAAATGTCACAAAAATGCTACAACTGTCACATTACAAACACGCTACAAATGTCACAAAAATGCTACAACTGTCGCATTACAAACATGCTACAACTGTCACATTACAAACATGCTGTCATTATCATATTACAAACACGCTACAAATGTCACAAAAATGCTACAACTGTCACATTACAAACACGCTACAAATGTCACAAAAATGCTACAACTGTCACATTACAAACATGCTACAACTGTCACAAACATGCTACAACTGCCACAAACATGCTACAATTGTCACAAACATGCTACAACTGCCACAAACATGCTACAACTCTCACAAACATGCTACAACTGCCACAAACATGCTACAACTGTCACATAACAAACATGCTGCAAATGTCACATTACAAACATGCTGTCATTATCATATTACAAACACGCTACAAATGTCACAAAAATGCTACAACTGTCACATTACAAACATGCTACAATTGTCACATTACATGCTACAACTGTCACATTACAAACATGCTACAACTGTCACAAACATGCTACAACTGTCACATTACAAACATGCTACAATTGTCACAAACATGCTACAACTGCCACAAACATGCTACAACTGTCACAAACATGCTACAACTGTCACAAACATGCTACAACTGTCACAAACATGCTACAATGGTCACAAACATGCTACGGTTGTCAAATTACAAACATGCTACAACTGTCACAAACATGCTACAATTGTCACAAACATGCTATAACTGTCACAAACATGCTACAACTGTCACATTACAAACATGCTACAACTGTCACAAACATGCTACGGTTGTCACATTACAAACATGCTACAACTGTCACATTACAAACATGCTACAACAGTTACAGTTACCAACGTTTCCATTTACATCGGTAGCTCATTCTTGGTCGCCCACTGATCTATAAATATCGACCTACAATAGCTAGATATGATCAGCATTGTTCACATTGGGGCGGGCAGTGCACGTACATACACACAGTATGCTACATACCACACACACACACACACACACACACACACACACACAGAGGACTTCACGTGCGGCTTCAATGGTCTTTTGGTTGACTTGGCTGGTAGAGTAGGTAAATAACACACACACACACACACACACATATATATATATATATACGTATATAGTTCCCAGCATGCTGGCGGTTGTGCGGTAATGCCCCGTTGTCCGGCATGAGATCTGACCACTGACTGACCAGTGAGACATGAACCCAGCCCGGGGGCCACCCTACGGCTTCCAGTATGACGACGAGCTCCGGGTGCGGCTGGAGAAGCTCTCTCGGACGTACGACCTGGCCACCATGAAGATCTTCATGGCCGTGGAGTCGATGGGCGACAACAACCTGTACAGCACGTACGCACCAGGTGAGTACCAGGTGGGGAGGGGGATGTTGGTACCAGGTATTTGAACCAAGTGGGCAGGTGGTTGGTACCAAGTAATGGGTATAAAACAGTCCTCAAATTGTTTTGGGAAATGTTTGTCATTCTTTAAATTCGTAGAGAATAATTATCAACCTTATGTCACAAGAATTGCATGCATGTGTATGTTTTTATGTGTGTTCTGTATTGTGTAAAATGTGTAATTTTAACACTGTGTCCGTACAACACTGTGTCCATAGTCCATATACACATGTGTCCATATAGCGATATTGTCCATAACGTGTCAGCCTCAATGTCTGCTAGCCTGCACGCTACCTGCACGCCTCCCAGCTATATTTAGCCCCCTGACCCGTCGCTAGCGCTCTATACCTGTAGTGTTGCTTCTCTCTGTCGGTGCTGGACGACCTGCTGACCCACCCACGGCCTCCCGCCTGCTGTCAGTCTGGCACCACGACCAGAAGTTGCACCGTCAGCTGGACCAGCTGGCCGGACCGTACGACGCCGACACCCTCAAGACGTACATGACCACCCTGGCTCTAGGCGAGGACAACGTTTACAGCATCTACGAGCCGGCACTGGGTGGGTAGCCGGCATTCTATAGCTTCCGCTTTTTTATAGCTGCATCCTGGGGTAGCCGGCATTTTCCGGCTAACGCTATTACCATGTATGTAGTTGTCTTTGCTTGCACGCATCGCTTAGATAGCTGACTAACAACGCCTAACGACTCCATGACACTCTTAGCATCCCCCCCCCCCCACACACACACCGTATTAAGTCCCTGTGTGACACCTTTAGGTCCCTCTGTTACAGCCTCACCCCCCCCCCCCTTACCTTAGGTCCCTGTGTGGTCGACTGTGTGAGCTCGCGACTAACTATGAGCGAGTGGGAACGGAATTTTGCCTCGAAGCTTCCATAGATTTTGTTTACTGCCAACAACATTTCTAGCATTTAAAAAACTTGATACATCCACTGTAACAAATAATCGTGTCAAGAAGTAACTACCACATTTGTAAACTATGGCTCTAACCAAGTAATGGGCTGATGTGTACTGACCACTGTCCAAAAATGGACGCGTGTCAAACACGCGGCGTGTGAGAGATTTGCTTGCATGCCCAGCTCGAGAGAAAACAAAGCACTGGCTTTGTTTTTCAAATATTTCTAGTTTGCTAAAGTTTGAACTCAAATCATCTGGATCACTACATCATGGCGGGAAAATGTATGTAACTAATCAACACTAACAATTTTTTAACATAATTTTTGTTACATGTTTTAACATCACAATACTCCCTTAGGCCTACTGTCCACTCACTTTAATACCATTATACTCCCTCCTTTACACACTCCTTATGTCGTAGCTTAACACTGCTGCTTACAAAATATTCTTTAAAATAAAATAATCATATTTACCTTATTTGTAGAGGGTTTTTGTGTTGTTGTATTGTCTCTTTTCTTTGAGCGAAATTTTTTTACGTAAGATTTTTTGTGTTTTATAAGATGTATGCGTTACTCCCCCCCCCCCCCCCCTTCCCCAGAACGCAAGGACTACTGGGAAAGTTTTCTACTGAGGCGGGAGGCGTGTCGAGTGGACGTGACCCGCTACGATAAAACCCGAGAGCAGTACCAGCACTTCCTGACGCAGGTGCCGAGGGAGGTCCAGGGCCAGCAGTTCTTCCACGCCATGATCTCCCTGCTCAGGTCTAAGGGCGCCGTGGACATGGCCAAACACCCCACTGACAGGCACCACGGCGACCTGGAGGCGACGTTTTGTGGACATCTGTGCAAGCTGTTTGACCAGAAGATTGAAGCTTGGTTTGACTCGTTTGAGGCCGTCAATGTCAGGCTGACCTCGCATGTCAAGGTCTCTAACCTGGTCCGCGTGCTCAACGGTCAGGTTGACCTCTTGTGCCGCAAGGATGGGGTGCTGTTTGCCGTTAATATCAAGGTCACGGGCATGCCCACGCCCCGCCCCATGGACGTGAACGAGCTGTGTCTGGTCAAGGCCATGGTCATACAGAACGGCCTGGCTGACCCCGACGCCATGGGCTGCTGCCTCCTCGTCTGCCACCTGGCAGAAGACCGTCCGGTTCTCCGGCTCTGGGAGTACCGGCCGACCCGCGCCATGGACACGGCCATCAAGGAAGCAGACGTGGACCACATGATCGAGGCCGGCAAACAGTCTCAGATGCACGAACTCTGGTCGGAGAACGTCTGCCCGCCTGGGATCGCTAGTCTGACGGCCCGGCTCCCAGCGTACAACGGCGCGGCCATCCCCAGGAACATGGTGGCCAAAAGCTCACACCCACAGCAGGTTGTTGGCAACCTGAACAACCAGGGCCACCCGACCAACCCGGGCCCAGCCTACAACCAGGGCCACCCCACCAACCAGGGCCCAGCCTACAACCCGGGCCAAAACAACAACCCGGGCCAAAACAACAACCCGGGCCAAAACAACAACCCGGGCCACCCCACCAACCCGGGCCAACCCTACAACCAGGGCCACCCCACCAACCCGGGCCAACCCTACAACCAGGGCCACCCCTACAACCAGGGCCACCCCAACAACCCGGGCCAACCCAACCAGCAAGGGACCAGTAGAAAGACACCATCACTAGTCGAGTCCATGTGACGAAAGGCACACGATATTTGTTGACAACACGAGGCACAAGACAGTTGTTGACATCACAAGGATCAAGACAGTTGTTGACAGCACAAGGCACAAGACAGTTGTTGACAACACGAGACACAAGACAGTTGTTGACAACACAAGGCTCCATGCATGCCGTATTCTCCCCTAGGCTGATCACATCAGCTCTTAGACGGGCTGTGGCCGCCATGAAATGATTTCTATCGCCTTATTATTTTTTTTCTTTCATGCTATTCAACTCATTTCACTTTTATTGCGACAGTGGACAAGACGCTTTACTGACCTTGACCTACCATGACCTATCATGACCTACCATGACCTACCATGACCTACTATGACCTACTATGACCTACCATGACCTACCATGACCAACCATGACCTACCATGACCTACCATGACCTACCATGACCTACCTTGACCTACCTTGACATACCATGACCTACCTTGACCTACCTTGACCTACCATGACCTACCATAATCTGTCGGTCTGTATGGAATGAGGGGACCAAACCTGTAGCACAACCAATTACAATATTCGACTCTCATTGTTAAAATATGAAAATATATATTATGTTATATGCTGTATGTATGTATGTGAAAAGAACAATGTTACATCTTTTTAATCTTGACCATAATTCTATATCTGGGACAGTTCAATACTCACTGTATTTATATTATGTAGCTTTCAAGTAATAAATTCTTTTATGTACCATTGTCTCATTGATTACTTCCTCTGTAATGCGATGTTAGTGGTGAGACGTTAGTGGTGAGATTCTAGTGGTGAGATACTAGTGGTGAGATACTAGTGGTGAGATACTAGTGGTGAGATACTAGTGGTGAGATACTAGTGGTGAGATGTTAGCGGAGAAGTTAGTGGTGAGATACTAGTGGTGAGATACTAGTAGAGAGATACAAGTGGTGAGATACTAGTGGTGAGATACTAGTGGTGAGATACTAGTGGTGAGATACTATTAGAGAGATACTAGTGGTGAGATACTAGTGGTGAGATACTAGTGGTGAGATACTAGTGGTGAGATACTAGTGGTGAGATACTAGTAGAGAGATACTAGTGGTGAGATACTAGTGGTGAGATACTAGTGGTGAGATACTAGTGGTGAGATACTAGTGGTAAGACGTTATTGGTAAGATACTACTGGTGAGATACTAGTGGTGAGACGTTAGTGGAGAGATGATAAATGCACAGTGATGAAGTGGAGAGATATCATGAGATGACAGTAGTGGGAGGTCAGTACTGAAATAACAATAACAAAAAGTCAGTTTTGCACGTCTAGATCTGAAGTTTAAAAAAAAAGTACTTTTTTGCTGTACTGTTAGATGAATTATCCTCCCTGTTCTACTTAAAGAACATTTCCCAAAAACCGCAACTCTCATATTAAAATGTCTACATTAAAATGCCGGCAAAGGGAAGTAACTATTACTATGACTAAATGTTGATAAGAATTTCCTGAGTTATCGTTTAATTTAACCAGCAATAGCAATATTAACAGAAAGTGATATTTCAACGCCAAGGGTAGACAAAGGAGTGATATTACAACGCCAAGGGTAGACAAAGGCGTTGAAATATCACTTTCTGTTAATATTGCTATTTCAGTTACAACGCCTGCTTCCACCCCCCTACACGTTTAATTTAACCAGAGACATAAATAAGCTACTGTAGTATTGCAGCTAATTTTTGCTGTTTCGTAGAATTCATTTCACAAACACTATTGTATCCGATTTTTTATAATTTAATCCAATAAAGCCATTAGACAACACTTCTAGCAAAATTCAAGATAAACTCTTTATCCCGGCTTGTATTTATTTACAGAAACATGAAACAAAAATATAAAATGTATTTTTTTCTGAGAAAATTATAAGTTAAATGCGACGATAACAGTATGCACTAAAAGATAGAACTTTGAAAGCAAGCACTAAAAATAGATCTTTGAAAGCATGCACTTAATTTAAAGATAGAATTCGATGTTTTCGGGATAAGCGATGTATAATATTTTCGAGACTATTCTCATTAGAATTTAGACCGCTGTCGACTGCCCCCCCCTCCCCCATATCAGAGGCGTAGCGATGGGTAGCGGGGGGGACGACATATGTCCGCGGGCGCCGACCTTAGAGGGCGCCAAAATGGGTTGGAAAAACAAATTGAAAGTTTGAGGGGGGGTGCAAATCGAAAGTTTGAGGGGAGGGGGTGCAAATCGAAAGTTTGTCCCCGGGAAGGGTCGCTACGCCTCTGCCCCATATACCGTGAAACGTTGTCTGCCCGACGGGCTATTCCCTCGCCTCTTCACACACCACACATGTATACATTCTCCCCCCCCCCCCTTTCACCCCTCACCTGTAGTTGACAGTTTCAGCTCTCCAGCCCCCACCCCCGTCCCTTAAGATTTCAGATTCAGGACTTTTGTTTTAAAAAGCTGCCTGCCAAAACTTGTGTCACTGAAGTTATTTTTAATCCAGACAGCGCTGGGCAGGTGATTAAATGCAAATTTTGAACGTTTCAACAAGCGTATGTTTGTATCCCTATTGTAGGGTGACAATGGAACACGCTGTACAACAAAACAAAAACATTCTTTTAAAAAGGTGACTAGTTCCGACATAATCTAGGTCTAAACTCGGCGAAACCAGCGCTCCAGTGTGTGTGTTGTGTGTGTGTGTGTGTGTGCGTATGCTGTGTGGATGTGTTTGTTTAGCGTGTCTTGAGCTCAGGCTCTATTGAAGTTTAAATTTGAATCTTACACTCAATGGCCGACCTAAATCACTAGAGGTGTCAAACTTTATCGATCGCCTCGCCTGTCTTGCTTCTGATTGGTCAGATCCTGCACGCAGGTACGCCTAGTGGGACTGCTTCAAATTGTTGACTCGGTCGGTCTGTGTGGGAAAAGTTGTGAACTTTCAAAAGTTTGGAAATTACTTTTGGATTCATTGAAATTTATTTGCCTATTTCTGGAGTATGATAGGGAGTTGTTAACGTGCTGGATTAGCAGACGACACACATTTTGTGGAGCGTTGGTGACAGTTTGCGAGGGGTGAAAGGGGGCCAATCAATGGAGCGGCTTACCTTTTCGTGACAGTGAGACGGGAGTAGTGGGCCCTTGTTGTTCACAGGCGACCAGACGTGTGTAGCGATCCACCGTGAAAGTTGTGTGTTGTCTCTTCCCTGACCGGGAAAGTTGTGTGCTCGTGTGGTGTTCCAAGGATGTAAGCAGAACCCAGCTATGCCACTAGCAGACAGGACCATCAGACCGGTCTGGCTGGGACGGAGACCACTATCTGAGGAGGAAAAAACCGAAGACCTGGTCCAAACTGCCGTGTCACAGAATGCCGTGTTGGGAGCGCTTGTCCAGTTGGCCAGTCTGGTCAGACATGCCGACGATATTTTCTGTGATCTGGCAGAGGAATGCCAGAAAGTGTTCGATAAGACGGAATCGATTACTGGCAAACTTGTGAACGTAGAGGGAATAATTAAACAGCTCGATTCTACCGAGGTCAAAATACGTAAGTCTCTCCTACTAAATCTACTAGTCTCGCTTATCCTAGATCTATATATTTTTTATCTACACGTTCTTCCGATTCCAATGTAAATAAATATCACGTGACTTACCCAGATACCACAATGTTTGACAAGAGTCGCATTACTGTCATGTTACCGTCATGTTACTGTCACAACTACTTTATTATTTAAAGACAATTTCTCGTGAGTGTGGGTGTGGTGTGTGCATGTACTCCAATCAACCTAGGTTTCAATATTGGAAGACTTACTAGATCTACTACTAGTACTAGCCCTGCAGGGTAAGATTGCCCCCCCCCCCCCCCCCCCGATTGTGTCGAGGAAATTCAGTTTTCTCTAGTGTACCTACATTCTATAGGCCGTGATTATCTCTATACCAGCTGGGCTTTCGCTGTGAATTATTGTAGAAAAGATTGTAAGCAGGATATAATGAAAATTTGAAATGAACAAAAAACGTACTTTAAGCTGAACCAGGAAGTAAATAAAACTAGGGATGTTGTCTACAGCGATGTGTTGACTGGGAATAGCCATATTAGAGCTATTCACAGTCGTGACTGTTTCAATACTTCAGGTATTGACAACCTCATGTATTGACAACCTCAGGTATTGACAACCTCAGGTAGCGAGAACCACCTGTCCAGTGATGGACACTAGCAGCGTGACGAATTAATCCACCATCGACACCAGTGATATAACGTACACGGTGTAGGGGGGGGGGGGCGCTACTAGTAATGTCGACACCTACTGGCACGACATTTAAATTGCCTGGGAAAACCAAAGCTGGTTTACTGAACACGGTCGGGAGAACTTTTCCTGGGGAGGAGGGGGGAGGGCTTGATAATCTTATGTAAGGTATCAACCCCTTGTCATAAACACTCAGGAGAACTTATCCTTGGGGTGGGGAGGGGAGGGATATTAGCCAAGAGCATACAGCACCTCGGCGTGTGTGTTTGTCGGGTAGGGGATATATTTGTGGGGTGGTGGAGGGTGCAATAGTTGGCTTTGTTTGTATGTGTTTGGTGCAATAGTTGGCTTTGTTTGTATGTGTTTGGTGCAATAGTTGGCTTTGTTTGTATGTGTTTAGTGGTATAATGGTTTTGTTTGTATGTGAATATGTTAGGTGTTGCACCATAGTCATCGACCATTTGTCAACGCGCACCTGTACCAGACGTGTAACTTGACCAGACGTGTAACTTGACCAGACTTGACCAGACGCGTAACTTGACCAGATGTGTAACTTGACCAGACGTGTAACTTGACCAGACTTGACCAGACGTGTAACTTGACCAGACTTGACCAGACGTGTAACTTGACCAGACTTGACCAGACGTGTAACTTGACCAGACGTGTAACTTGACCAGACATGTAACTTGACCAGACGTGTAACCTGACCAGACGTGTAACTTGACCAGACATGTAACTTGACCAGACGTGTAACTTGACCAGACATGTAACTTGACCAGACGTGTAACTTGACCAGACGTGTAACTTGACCAGACGTGTAACTTGACCAGACATGTAACTTGACCAGACGTGTAACTTGACCAGACGTGTAACTTGACCAGACGTGTAACTTGACCAGACGTGTAACTTGACCAGACTTGACCAGACGTGTAACTTGACCAGACGTGTAACTTGACCAGACGTGTAACTTGACCAGACTTGACCAGACGTGTAACTTGACCAGACATGTAACTTGACCAGACGTGTAACTTGACCAGACATGTAACTTGACCAGACTTGACCAGACGTGTAACTTGACCAGACGTGTAACTTGACCAGACGTGTAACTTGACCAGACTTGACCAGACGTGTAACTTGACCAGACTTGACCAGACGTGTAACTTGACCAGACGTGTAACTTGACCAGACGTGTAACTTGACCAGACGTGTAACTTGACCAGACTTGACCAGACGTGTAACTTGACCAGACTTGACCAGACGTGTAACTTGACCAGACGTGTAACTTGACCAGACGTGTAACTTGACCAGACGTGTAACTTGACCAGACGTGTAACTTGACCAGACTTGACCAGACGCGTAACTTGACCAGATGTGTAACTTGACCAGACGTGTAACTTGACCAGACGTGTAACTTGACCAGACGTGTAACTTGACCAGACTTGACCAGACGTGTAACTTGACCAGACTTGACCAGACGTGTAACTTGACCAGACGTGTAACTTGACCAGACGTGTAACTTGACCAGACGTGTAACTTGACCAGACTTGACCAGACGCGTAACTTGACCAGACGTGTAACTTGACCAGACGTGTAACTTGACCAGACTTGACCAGACGTGTAACTTGACCAGACTTGACCAGACGTGTAACTTGACCAGACGTGTAACTTGACCAGACGTGTAACTTGACCAGACGTGTAACTTGACCAGACTTGACCAGACGTGTAACTTGACCAGACTTGACCAGACGTGTAACTTGACCAGACGTGTAACTTGACCAGACGTGTAACTTGACCAGACGTGTAACTTGACCAGACGTGTAACTTGACCAGACTTGACCAGACGCGTAACTTGACCAGATGTGTAACTTGACCAGACGTGTAACTTGACCAGACTTGACCAGACGTGTAACTTGACCAGACTTGACCAGACGTGTAACTTGACCAGACGTGTAACTTGACCAGACTTGACCAGACGTGTAACTTGACCAGACTTGACCAGACGTGTAACTTGACCAGACTTGACCAGACGTGTAACTTGACCAGACTTGACCAGACGTGTAACTTGACCAGACGTGTAACTTGACCAGACGTGTAACTTGACCAGACTTGACCAGACGTGTAACTTGACCAGACGTGTAACTTGACCAGACGTGTAACTTGACCAGACTTGACCAGACGTGTAACTTGACCAGACTTGACCAGACGTGTAACTTGACCAGACTTGACCAGACGTGTAACTTGACCAGACGTGTAACTTGACCAGACTTGACCAGACGTGTAACTTGACCAGACGTGTAACTTGACCAGACGTGTAACTTGACCAGACTTGACCAGACGTGTAACTTGACCAGACTTGACCAGACGTGTAACTTGACCAGACTTGTAACTTGACCAGACGTGTAACTTGACCAGACGTGTAACTTGACCAGACGTGTAACTTGACCAGACTTGACCAGACGTGTAACTTGACCAGACTTGACCAGACGTGTAACTTGACCAGACGTGTAACTTGACCAGACGTGTAACTTGACCAGACGTGTAACTTGACCAGACGTGTAACTTGACCAGACGTGTAACTTGACCAGACTTGACCAGACGTGTAACTTGACCAGACGTGTAACTTGACCAGACTTGACCAGACGTGTAACTTGACCAGACTTGACCAGACGTGTAACTTGACCAGACTTGACCAGACGTGTAACTTGACCAGACGTGTAACTTGACCAGACGTGTAACTTGACCAGACGTGTAACTTGACCAGACTTGACCAGACGTGTAACTTGACCAGACTTGACCAGACGTGTAACTTGACCAGACGTGTAACTTGACCAGACTTGACCAGACGTGTAACTTGACCAGACTTGACCAGACGTGTAACTTGACCAGACGTGTAACTTGACCAGACTTGACCAGACGTGTAACTTGACCAGACTTGACCAGACGTGTAACTTGACCAGACGTGTAACCTGACCAGACCTGTAACTTGACCAGACTTGACCAGACGTGTAACTTGACGTGTATTTGACCCTGGCTAACTGTGTTTATGTTCATATACAAGATTTTTTTTCGTTCACTAAGGCGACCTCTAGAAATGCATATGTAACCTTTGCCATGTGTCTATACTAGACGTAAATACTTATTATCAATGTGATTATAACGGGCTCATAATCATTAACACTGTGATTATAACTATATTTTAGGGATGTAATTATACAGGTAACTAGCCGCCCCGGCCAGGCTCTGCACTGGCCGAAATGAAAAACCTATCTGTAAACGACCGTGACTAGTGTGTTTATCAAGCAGTATATACCCGGCATTGCCCGGGTTTAGGAAATATATTACTTCTCCAATTAATTGTCTATATGCAAATATGGGCTTTTGAAAAAATGACACAAAATTCTTAACTTAACCTTAAGCAAAACCAACCAAAATCAAAAACACAAACGCAAAAGTAACGGAAACATTAAAGCAAACACATACGCAAACACAAACATTGAATTTTATCAAACCATGCTAATTAGATAATTGGTTTTTTTTCAAAAATCAAAACAAACTTTTAAAGTAATTTTTTTCTACTTGATTTTTACACAAAGTATAGAGAAAGTATTGTAATCCTGCACAAAAAAATCGAGATTTTTGCAAATCTCACACCGACCTGGGTAAAACATAGTTTGGCAATATTGTCCATATGTCTGTGTGCGTCTGTGTGTCTGTGAACACGATAACGAGTACCGTTACAGCTAGGTTGATGAAATTTCATATACAAGTATTATATCCAATGTTTAGATTTGTATAAACTTTTCTGCGATTTCCGATAACCGGAAGTGGAACTTTTTCTACCTTCAATTTTTCAAATGCCTATTACTTGAGTACTATTTCAGATAGATAAATGAAATTTTACATGTAAGTAAAATAACTAATTATCTGCCATCTTTCAGATTTTGAATAATTTCCGTTGACCGGAAGTACAATTTTACACTATTTCCGATTTATTAAAAAAACGCATGTGAATTTATAAAGTACTAATAATATTCCGCACTATTATACACATTTTGTTTGGCTTTCACTTGGTGGCAATTCTTTTTTCTACGAGATTTTATTCTATTTTAAAAAGTTTTAGTAATTAAAAATAGATTTAAAATATTGTCCATATCCCGTAGTGTTATATAAGAATATTCGAGAAAGTTTAAAGGAGATCACTCCCGGTTTATTTTCTTGTAAGTTATCTATCAAGTGAAGTAGTTTCTACAACGGTACGTAATTTGTATACTTTTTTCAATGGCATGTAATTATAACAATCACA